ACCTTCATTAGAATCATTTGGATTATTTCAGTCCTGGAATTGCAAATCTCTACTGAACTGAAGATAAAACGTAGCTGTTAACTTGAAAACTACCACTATATGACATCACACCATAGAACAGAGCATTTTGAACTTTGGAGATGCAGACAAACTAATAATGCAGGATTACTCAAACATTTTTGAATGAAGCAAAACGCTATTCTGAGTATGTTTCTGACGAGGTGACATTATAACAAGAGTCCATTTGTGTAATATAGGACCTTTAAGTTAACGGGTTAAATGAATGCTCTTAGTAACATTTTAACTCTAGATGGTTGTCTGATTAACTGTTGAAAAAAAGATTTATAGTTAGAGTATGTGTTATGTGTGGCCTTTCTGGTAGGCTTGTAAATCTTGTATTGTTTAATGAAATTCTTACCTCTTCCAGTGCCCTTTTCTCCAGAGCAGAAGTCCGCACATAAGCGCCCCTTCGTCCGCTCGCTCCCCATCTCCCCCTCCCTCTCTCACTTGCCTGCTCCCCTCCCTCTCTCTCTCTCTGGTGAAGGAGAACTATAGTCACTGCAGATTTATGGGAGCTGCCGAGTGCTCGGAGTGGTGTCTCCCTGAGGGCTGCTGGCTGCATTTGTATGCCAGGAATCCCTTTCAATGGCACTAAAAGCAAGCCCAGAGATTGGCACGACCAAAACTCCAGAGTTCGAATAAGGGAGACCAAGGCCTTCACTGCAAAGAAATTTAGAGTGGAAGTTTATTAAGATTAGCTTTGGGTGCTGGGAGAAGATGTTAAACAGTGTGTCAAAATGATAAAGAATGTACTGAAACTAATCATAACCTTGTGGCGGTGGTTTTATTAGAATTTTTTAATTCTTGGAAGTTTTAGGTATCTTGAGGACACCTTTTTGGCTCATAACTCAACTTCTCAGAAAATGTCACATCTGTATGACTAAAATAATCCAATGTGACAGAGTTTCTAATGAATGGAGAAGCTGAAATGAAAGTAGAAAATGCTTTGGTTGGCATAAATCTGTGGTATATGAACAGTTTATTGTTTTGAAAATGCTTTATTTGCCAAAAACAGTAACATGTTTATCAGTTACACCTTTGTTTTTAGCACTCTCTCCATCCTTTGCTCCTCATGCTAAGTCACTCCCCCTTCAGAGAGCTATCACAATCATCTAATGAAAGTTTGTGAAGTTGTTGTGTAGAGCTTCATATCATGCTTTTGTATACTTATGGAGAACTGCTGTGTGGGAACATTCAGAGAATCTTACAGCGAACTAAAGAGGGTTTGAATGGGGCTCTGGAAAGATTGCTACATTACACACACATGTATGGCACCTAAAACCTCTTCAGGCATGTTTTTGATGAGGGAACAACATTATCAAAAATCAATTCTGCATAATACCCCCTCTTTAAGGCATTCACAATTCCTTTACAACAATGCTATTTACTGGATAGCATTCCCAGTTGAGTAGTTCAGTACAGACTTGAAAAAGGCAGATGTTTTTGAAAGCTCCTCTCTGTTGTGTTTCCCTTTGAATCCAAAATCCCACATTTGTCACAGAGCCTGGAGTGCGTCCTCTCTGCGGCAGTCAGAGGAGAGAGGTGCTTTCACATGAAACAGTGTCTGACAGGTGCGCTTCAACTCACCCACAATGTATTTGGAGCTGGATTTTCTGCCCAGATGGAAAGCTCTTTGCTAAATTTGAAAAAAGAAGGCTGTGATGTATTAAGTTCAGAAATAGCTTGCAAAGGTAGTGATGAATGAAGAGACGCCAAGCAACCACTCCATAAAACTCAGCCGTGTAAGTGTTTTGTAACAGTCACCTACCTACAGTGTTCGGATTATTGCCATACATGGGAATAAGGTGATATAATTCAACATCACGTAATTCTCTCACCATATGATCTTGATATTTTCTTGGCAACCTAATTTACACCCCCATATAAGCAACCAAACTGACTGTAATGTATGTTTTTTTTTTCTTTTTTTAGTAATTTGAGTTACAATCGCAAAGTCACACTTAACTTGATCTCCTGTTGCCAGATCAACTCTCTTTCTTCCTGAAGAATACTGACAACTGCAAACAGGGAGCACCCCATAAGAGCTGCTGTTTACACCATGCTCTGACACATTGTCTATCCGTAAACGTGGGCGATATTAAAGTGGAGTTTATTTAGCATCAGAATATGAACACTTGGCACATTGTGTTATTGTCCATTCAAGCCTGACTATGCTCACCTTGTAGGGAGTATTATACCTCTGCTGGCATATGTTACCTAACAAGGCATAACAGTACAATTTTCTAGGGATGTAACAGTAACTGAAATATCGTGATATCGTATCGTCAAAAGTCTCACAATAATATCATGGGCTGTCACAATATATAGAATTACAAGTTTCTTAAGTGTCTCAAATGCCTTGTTTTATAGTAGCAACAGCTTATAAACAGAGAACTACATATCCCATGATTCATTTCAGTGCAGACATGAAGAAATATGTTTTTTTACTTGAATTCTTGGGATTTTGACAGTAATTACTCAAACCGAAATCTTGTCAGGGTATTTTAAAAGCAAAAAAGTGTCTTATTATTATGTATAATATTGTAATATCATGAGCCTCTCAACCATATCATGAGCTTTCCTACAATATTGCAATAAATATCATACCGTGACAATATCGTTATCGTGAAACTTGGATATCATTACACCCCGACATTTTCCCAATCAAACTATACGTCTGTTGTTGGTGTTGTTGTGTTGGTAACAGCAGTTAGATGCTATCCTTCCAAACCGTCAGGAATGGGCATTACATTTAAACACATAAGTGCAGAAATATAAACCTTTTATTTATTTATTTATTTATTTTTAATTTTCAGATGATAATTGGTAGATTTCACTTCAGGTATATGGACTATACTCGACATAACAACAATCTTCATTATCTTTTATATAACCACTAAATTACCCTCTCTAAGTTACTTATCACTGCCTCTTTTCCAGCTTTATACACACCACGTTGTGTAAGTGAATTTTTTTTTCTTTTTTTTTTTTTTTTTTCCAGTTGTATCTCTAGAATGTTTCCTTTTAAGCTAAAACTGTTACAAGCGCCTGACATGTGATGGAGCGTATGATGGATTTGCCCACAGTAACTTATCCTATCGGGTGTCCGGACAGCAGACAGGCAGGGCACCAGCCGAGACCCTTCTATTCGATTGGTCAGGGGTTAATGGGCCGGGCGCCATGACAACAGGCGTGTAGTGGATAAGATGTCACAGTCTGTCTCTGGACTATCTTTGGGAGTCTCCGCAGTGGACTTCTGGACTGTGTATTATTGAGTTTGACAAAAGGGTCCGTTTGCATCAAGTCACAATGATATAGACATGAAAATGATATGAATGCTATAGATGGAAAGAGATATATGCAAAACTCAAGTATGGATACTTTGCAGTGACATCACGCTGGGGTGGGGGGGTCTACATGTATCTATATGGAGGAATGTTCAGCAGTTTCATAAATTAGCAAAAAACTACAAAAACTATTTAAAGATTGACTGAAAACTTACAAAAAAATACAAAATTTATTTTAGCAACACAGCTTCAGGAGCCTGTGATCAGTACAAGTATTCATGGTCCTGTTTAGGTGTTTGATTTTCAACAAAAAAAGAGGTGAGAGTGACTAACTGTAAAACTCTTGGCTAATGCTAGCTGTAATGTTATTTACTCACCTGTTGTAGTTCCAGCTAAGTCACTTCTTTGTCGACAGATTGTGTTTTTAAAAAGATCAGATTAAAGTCTAACAAAGCCTCAGACAGAGTAAAGCCTAAAGTTAGTATCATCCCCATAGTTAATGTGGATGAGATCACCTACAAAGTATCAATTATGGGAGATTTCATGGTTGTTCTAGTTAGGGATGAGCACGATTAGTCGATTAATCGCTAATTGATCAGAATTTCGTTGATTACATTTGTTTTTAATCAAATGTAGGTTGCTGTGCATAGAGATGAGGCTGCGTCTGACACAAACACTGGAGTTGTAGTCTCACAGTCCTATGTTTCCACTTTGGCACCTCTTTGGAGATCACTGTACCATTCAGTGAGTGTGTTTACATGCACATCAGTGTCCCGGTTTCATCATGGTGCATGTATACGCAGTATCCCGATTACTGCAACATAAAGAGCTGCACACGTATGATCTCTAAAAACATGAACCATCTCCAACATGATATACACCCAGAACAAACTCACCATCATCATCATCAACATTCCTCTGTCACAGAAAGAACTCCTATATTCCACTGAGTTGTGTCCTTTAGTCTGACAGAAGCTGATCGCATCAGCGCTGTATTTTTTTTTTTTTCCACTTAGTTTATGCAAATTAGCCATGCAGTTTAAGTTTCATTGCTGTAAGACTTGTGCAAAACTGCATTAAACGCATAATCTTTAACAGGCTGATGTGGCTCTATAGTGGGTATGATTTATGCTGTAAAGTTGAGTTTATTTATGCAGATTAGTAATAATAGTAATAATGATGATCATTTTAATATAAAAACATTAATGATTAATCAAAAATCAATTGTTAATTCTCCCGACGATCAATTAAGAAAATTTTATCGAATGTCCATCCCTAGTTCTAGTAGTGGTAGTAGTTGTATGACGATCCATATGAGAGATTGTACTGCAGTATGTAGTTCAGTAGGAGGAGTGTACATTGTAAGATCATAAGGAAGATTTTATTTGAGATTGTGCTGACAAACAGTGAATGTGAAGCGGTATTTCAAATATGTAACTCGATCTAAACAGGTTAATCCTTGTGTCTGTGTGGCAGAAAACAGACACGCTATCCTCGGTTGTAAATTTAATTTTAAAGACGCCATTACAAGTGTCCATAGTGAAATTTACGGCCATCTTGAACGCAGCTAATTCATGTGCAGCTGTCATCCCCTGTCATAAATCCTGGGCTCTGATTGGCTAACGCTGTTGTCTTCTGTTGTGTGATTGGCAGAAATGGAGCCCTGGTTCTCACGCTTCAAGGCCGAGGGCACGGTGGATTACTCCCAGCTCACCTTTGACCCTGGACAGAACGAGCTGATTGTTGGAGCACGGTAAGACAAATACAGTGTGGTGGTATTTTGTAATGTATTTTGTGAAAGGAAATATGTTTGTTACTTTTTTGTATATTTTGAGTAAAAAACAAAAAGACAAAACATAAAAACACAAAACAGACAAATAATACCATATACAAGTTTTGGACGTGTATGTATTAGTATTTGCATTACAACATGGATAGACAGACTGGGTTACATCATTTGTCTTTGCATGTTGTTATTTTATGTAATGCATTTAAACTCCTGTACCACATTTTTTTGCCAAGTACTGATATATTGTATAAGCAGCTCTTGAGGTCAAAATAAGTCTGTTGTTTACTGTGAGGTCTGTATCTAATTATAAGTGTTTTGTTTTTAACGAGAATCAGGAAGTGTGCTCTCCACTCATCAACAACAATTTTGATGCTTAGAATGCATAAGTTAAATGAAATGCAAATGAAATGCAAACCACATAAAATTAACAGTAAAGGAAGAGCGCCTTTAAGTGGTGTCAATCAAAGTGTTACCAAAAAAGAGTAATACATGTAATAGTTTTAACTCTTTCACTGCTCAAAGCTTAATAATGAGGACAAAGTCTTTTTTTTGTTGTTGTTGTTTTTATCTTGCCAGATATAATAATTGTAATCTCAAAACCAAAAACAATATTTTCACCTTCAGATAAACTAGCTTTTTTCTTTTCTCTTCCATTTTGTTTGCCCTGACGTCCGGCCGCTGTACCTTTCATGCATTGGGCTGTGTCTGGTTTGGAGTGGCTGAATTTCAAAGCAGCGTTCACTCCTCTTTGGCTTTAAGTGCCTCTTTAGACTTGTGAGTGAGAGGTATGGATGCGTACTCTGGCTGCTTCCATGCACAGTGTATTTGCCACTGTTCTTAATGGTGGTGCTGTCAATAGAACGCAGAGGTACAAAGTGAACTGAAGATAACAGAGCGGCCAGGAGAGAAAACAAACACAGGCCTATAGAGAATTAGCTAATGCATTTCTATGGCCGGGATGGGAAAGGCTAATCCGAGAATGTGTAGGTTTATTTGATAGTTACTAGTAGGGCTGCATGATTTTGGGAAGAAAAAAAAATAAAAAATGTAAATTCAGTATTTTCTGACAAATATTGCTTTTGGATTTGCACTACATGGTTAAAAATGGGATTTTTTTCAGTGTGCACATTGTAAAAAACTCATTAACATTTGGGAGAAAACTGAAATATGAACTGATAAATGAATAGAAGAATCCCATGCATTTCAGAACATGTTTGTAGAAGTCTAAATTACAGTTACAGCAAGATTTATGTTTATGTAATATGTTTTATTACCTAAATAATTGCAGCCTTTGTGATTTAGATCCAATTTATAGTATTGTGCAGCCCTAGGCAGTGTTGCCATGACACTGGAACTCAATTTTGGTAAAGGAAAGTCTCTACACCATTTTTATTTCAGTTATAAAAGTAAAACCTTCTTTTTTTTTACCAACAGAATGTAATTTACAGCACAAAATAATAGAAATTTCCAGTATTACAATGTGGTCTTGTACTAGTTCTGATATAAATCCAGATCATTCTGTAGTTTTTTTGTTGTTGTTTGTTTTTGTTTTGTTTTAGTTTTTTTGTTTGTTTTTTTTTAGGAATGGTCCAAGTCTCATTTATACATATTTTTACCCAATACTGATCACATTTTTTGTCAGTCCGAATAGGCACATGATAAATCTTGAGCCAAAAATATCACGGCTCTTCTTAGAAAAATCAAATCAATTGTACATTTTGTTAAAATCAATGTGTGACAAAAAAAGAAGAAAAACCTGAGGTAATCCTATCGCAGCATGGCATTTGAAACGCTCACAAAATCAAATAAGACATTTAGTGGAGTTGTCCGCAGAGATGTGATGGCTCAAGTGTGAAAGTGATTTGATGACACTGTGTGGGTGGTGTCTGAGTATGACTGATAATGGAGCTGAGGAACGATCAATGTAAATATCAATACAGTAAAACAGAAAACAGGCCCACGGCTCCTCTCACACAGGTCTGTCGCTATGTCTGCCATCACACAAGTGCATGGTGAAGACAAAAAGAAATATTAAAAGATGTCTAGACTATGATTAGAAATACCTTCAATTCTATTTAATTGATAACCTACTTTGAAACCCTTTGATATATTAATAGAATATGGACTTTTCTACTAAAATATTAAAACATGACCAAATATTAACATTTACTTTTTATTCTTAGATATTAAAGAAGACATATTGTGCTTGGGCCTGCTATAGTAACAACAATAATACATCTTTATTTATAACACACTTTTAAAAATTAGGTTTACGAAGTGCTGTACAAGCAGCAATGAACAATGCAAAAAGCATAAAAATACCATACAAAAGGCACACAAAAACAGACAATGATGCAAACAATCTGATTAAATCAAAAGAAATAGAATACAATAAATAAGGAATAAAATCAAGCTAAAACCAGTCAAAGGAAGGTCAACCAATAAAAATGGGTTCTAAGAAGTGATTTAAAAGATGATACTGATGGTGCAAGCCTTATCTCCTCAGGCAGGTCATTCCGAAGCCGAAGCGCCCGGACCGAAAAGGCTCCAACAGCCTTCGTCCGGAGCCTGGACTTTGAAACAGCTAACAGGGACCTGCCTGAGGATCTAAGACTGCGAGAGGGCTCATATGGGGTGAAAAGTTTTGAAATATAACTTGGTGCGAGACCTAAATGAGCTTTAAAAGTCATCAGTAAGATCTTAAAATAAGTTCTAAAACACAGAGGCAGCCAGTGAAGGGAAGTAAAACAGGGATAATATAGATTACTACTATATAGTTATAATGTACGACACCCATGGATCATTATGTTATAATCTGCACATTTTAAATTGCAATATTAATCTAAAACAATGTAAAAAAAAATTAATAAAATAAAAATAAAATAAAAATTGGTGGTTGAAAACTTTGGTAACCAGTGGGAGCCGACATTGCTGTAAGTATCATTACAACAAAGAGCCATGAAGTTGTTGGCATTTCCAATGGATAACTACAGATCACACTGCTGAGTAGTAGATTAAAAATTATAATAATAAAAAATAAATAAATAAATGCTGCTGCTGAATCCTACGTGTATTGACGATTTTAAAAAATTTAATTGGAGAGAGCAATGGCCGTTTGCAGCTGTGAAAACAGAGGTTGATGGGTGTCTTAAAAATAAATGATTAAAGATTGCTCAAATATGCACGAATCATTCCAAATAAAACTTAAATGAGAAGGGGAAACATCTACAACATGGTTAAAGCTCTGAAAAGTCAATTTTGCATAATAGGTCTCCTTTAGAAGATCATTTGCAAAAACAGATTTGTACAATTTGAAAAACATGTTGAAAGCTTAGAATTTACTCTTTGTCTAGGGGTGTTTTCAAAAGCCGAATTTATTTTAGTGCAATAAAAATTATTCAATCCTTTTTTGAACAAATATCACCTAGACTGTAATTAATAATGTGTGTGTGTGTATGTAATGTAATATGCATGTAGTATCTTATTAAAAAGAAAAAAAACTGAGATGTCTGTTTCTGCACATGAACTTTTATTCTAGTTACTTTTATTAGTGCAAATGGTTGATTTTATTCTTATGACTTATATGCAAATGTTCTTTCTTTAAAAAAATCAAGCATGAATATAAAATAGAAATACCTTGACGCCTTTGTACCTTTATTTGTTGTGTTGGGGAAGAGTGTGAAAACTAAATTCAAAACTGAATGTCAAAGCTTGTTTAAAATCAATTTAATTCAATTGGTAAAAAGGTGTTCCATGGTCACATGAATAAAGACATTACAAGTTACATGTTGTTTGCCTTCACAGCCTTTCACATTTTCTACTTTCCATTTAGACACCAAGTATTTTTAAACAAATTTAGGCCGTGAGATGTCCTGACTTCCCACTCCCCAGACGCTTCATCTACTGGAACTCATTACTAAGAAAATGCTTTTTATTATGTTTAAATAGATTTAGGCCAGATGCAAATTTATTGATTTATCCAGGTTTGGGAGTAACACGATGAGTTGCGACTTTACCTTTGTTTTACATAATATGGCTCTGTTATTTCAAACTATAATGAGATGTCCAGACCTCCCACTCCCCAGGCGCTTCATCTGCTGGAACTCATGACTAATAAAATGTGGTTTATGAGTTTTCAGACCATTACTTTCTGTTTTTATCTCGTCTTTATCTCATTGTTTTTTGTATTACCCTCACATAGCAGTGTAATAATATGATACCCATTTTCACGAGGGTGCATTTTTCTTCATAAACATTTAATTGCAGCCTGCGTGCACTCTAATTCAAAGTAATTGTATATAATCATTGAGTTGTCTGACACATTGTTAATAGCGATGAGGCAGACTTTTCTCTACGGAGATGGTTATTTGTGAAAAGTTGCTAGTGCCAGAGAAAGTATTTTGTTTGTACCTTCTATATGCGAAGCTTGAGGCACTTCAGCATAAGGACCTATTAGAGTAAAGCTTTGTCTACTCATAGGCCTTGCTTTTCTTTCAAACTGTTTATTTCTCTTCACTACATTCTCCTTTCTCAGCGTGTCATACAGGTGGAACTACAGGAGATTAGACAAAACCTTAACCTTTTTATAGCTAACATAGAGCATTATGAGTGTTTCACAATCCATCAGAGGTGTGTGGGAGGTTTAAATGCACTAGCTTCACCTGTTTTCTGATAAAAATAGAGAAGGAGACGAAGGAAAAAGGAGCCTTTTGTGGTGAACGTCAGTGAAGATATTAAAATACTTTCAGCAGAATCTCATAAATATGTCATTAGTTAGTCACTGGGAAAATTAGGTGCATAATAAAATAGTGTTACTCAATATTAGAGGTCAACTAAAATTTTAATTTGAATTGTTAAAAGTGCATTAGTGTTGAAGAGGTTTGCTTTATTTTCATATATTGTCAGCTGCTATTGATCCTTTGCAGCTGCTATCACCAACATTCTCAGAGGGTGTGATGCTAACTGAAGGCACTGCTCTGTCTGGAGCTCTGTTACTGAGATTAGACTTTAATTTGATCTGTAATTTAATGCAGTCTGACCAGGAAGAGCTGATTTATCTGTGCTTAAATTATAGTCACTAGATAGCTAGCATCATCTAACAGTTTTTCAGGTAGTCACTTTCACCTTTTTTGTTGAAAATCCACACCTAAACAGCACCATAGATGCTTGTATTGATCACCTAAAATTGTGTTGTTTAGTTTTTTCTTCAGTTTTCACACTATCTTAAAACTTTTTGGGCTGATTTGCTAATTTGGGCATTGTGTCGTATCGTCAAAGTTCTCATAATAACATCGTAGTCCATCACAATATACTGAATTACAAGTCCCTGTGCTTAAATTAAGAGTTATGGTGCAGCAATAGCTAAAAAAAATAAAAAATAAAAATACAGAAGGAGCATGATCTTTTTCTCCATTTCAATGCAGACTACAATAAATAATAGAAATAATGGTTCTAAGCACTTTTAAGTCTTAGTTCTTTGGATTAAGCCTTGTCGAGGCATTTTAAGAGAAAAAAGTAGCATATTCACAGTTTTGTTAGCTTCCACAAAATATCACGATAAATATCGTACCGTGAGATGTATATCGTGAAAATATCGTCTCGAGAGATTTGGATATTGTTACATCGTGAGCCTCCCCACGATATTGCAAAAAATATTGTACCGTGAGTTTCATACTCTGACGATATTGTATCGTAAGACTTGGATATCGTTACTCCCCTAGTAACTTCTAAACATTCCACCATACACATACTTGTAGAACACCCCAAGCCAGATGTCATTGCTAAGTATCACTACTGAGCAATAGGGGTGTGCAAAAATATTGGCATATCAATATATCGTATCATTTATTGTGATGATACAGCATCAATATCAGGGGCTACTGTATCGATTATTTTTTGGTATATTTTGATAAATTATTTTGCTACAGCTACAGTTTTGTTGCTTGTGTAGAGGAAGGAAACTCATTTATGCAACACATTTGACATTTTCACTGTTTTGATGATTAAAATGGGCATGTTTCATATGAACTTTGCATAAGAAGTGTTTTATACTTTTAATATCGCAGCCATGATTTAGCCATTATTATTATTATTGAACCGTATCGAATCAATTTGTAATATATCTTATCAAATTGAAACTGAACTGTATCGAGATACCTATGTGGCTTATGTATCGAGGTATATATCGTATCTGCTTAGGGATATAGTAACTACAATCAAGACTAGACTTCTGTTGCTATAGAGACTGGGAAAGTGTAGTATTTTCAGTAAGACTATGTTAAACCAAAAGAGGTTTTAAAATGCTAAATACTAAATAATCAAAAATAGCATCCACAAAAAGACATAATAAAGTGTGTGTTTCTCAGTCTGCAGGTTCATTATCTATTGACTTCTTGCATGGACACATTTTGTACAACCCCAGCTCCACAGCAGTGTATTTGTTCACTGGTCTCTGTCTTGTTTTTCAGAAATCACCTCTTCAGACTGAACCTGGAGGACCTGACACTGATCCAGGTGAGTCCCTCCAGCCGCTGCGTCTGACTCAGGGCTCTCACTTCAGACAGGAATCACATACAAACCACCAAACACAGCGTTACCATGGCGTCCTGCTGCTCAAATCAGTTACAGTAAAGCGCTTTAGTGTCACACATTTTCTAACAGTGATTTTGTCAAGCATGCAGGCTCTATGCTGTTTGTGTTGATGTCCTTGACATTTTGAACCACAGTATTCAGATTCAGTGTTGTTATAGTTAATGTCAAGTATGAGCTACATTTCATTAAATAATAACCTACGTAAAGTGCTGCTTATATTTTGATCAGTTAAGTCTTGTAATACCAAATATTTGCTAGTATTTTGTCATTAATAAAACCACTAGGAATTAAAAATCTTCAGTAACTGTATTGTCAAATAATATTAGCACTTTCTCCTGGCTTTTTAAAGACTTAACATGTGATAAATTCCATTTTGAATGCTGTCCTTAGTCAAAAGAACTGACTATCATGTCTGGGTAAATGTTAACTAGTTTTTCAATAGTCACAAAACTTGTTTGCTTCATTTCAAATACTGTTTCTATAATACATAACGTGATTTTTGTGGAATAATCTATTGTATCTAGCAGTATCTGACCACTATAGTCATCAAATTAACTTGTGTCCCTTCTGCTCTGGTTCAATATTTACATATCCTGTGTAATTGTTTTTGATCATTTTGTTGAATTTTGTTGTTCATCTTGTTGTATTTCAATACTATATTTGAACTCTGTCTTAGTTCTTAGTGTCTTTGTTCAGATTTGATTTATTATGTGTCTAACAGTCAAGCGTGAGTGAGTGAGTGTGTGTGTGTATGGTTGTGTTGATTTTGTCGTTTTGATGTTTATTTGAATTGATGTAGCCTACTGTCTGCCCTACTGTATCTATGAGGACCCCTTCGAAAACAAGATGGTGAGACATCTCAAGGGGCTTGTCCTCCAAACAAATAAACTCAAATTTAAATTCAAATACATGGTTTAAAGGGCCGATATTGAGCTACTTTCTGATCTACGGTATGTTATAATTTTTCCTCATCAAAAACAAACCTGGAGTTGTATTTTGTTTCCTTCACACAAACCCTGCATATTTAGGCTGATTTCTTCTCTTAAATACTTCTTCTCTTAAACAGAAAACACTCTGTTCTACCTTGTGATGTGGTAAAACAGGAGGACTGTGTTTTTCAGCCCTGGAATAGCCCATCTCTACTGAACAAAGGTAGCTGTTAACTAGAAAATTACCACTACATGACATCACGAGGTGGAACAAAGCATTCTGAGCTTTTAAGATGTAGACAGACTAACAACTCAAACATGTGAATAAAACAAAACACAACCCTAGGTACGTTTCTGATGACTCAACAACATTCTAACATGACTTAAAGCTCACAAGAATCAATGTTGTTTAATACAGACTCTTTAAATATTGCAGAGTTATTATAAACTGAATGGACTTTCTAACACAACTGCCATATTCCAAAATACCATTGACACCAATTATTTTCTCCCCACCACATGCTGTCCTTCAAATGAGTGCATGTTTTTATTATATTTTTATATTTGTCAAACCCCGTACTTCCCCACTGAGAAAAAACATTTACGGACCGCACAATTACAAACACATCAAGGACGTGTCTCTAGGTTGTACCAGTCGGGATTCTTTGATGCTTGTTTTCTGCCATTTATACACCCCGGAAAACCATTAGAAACAGCGTATAGAGAGGAGAACAAAGCAGGCACTGGGGGTATTGCGTTGATACAAATCCGACTGGAATAGGAAATAAGAAAAAAAGAGGCTGGAATTTGTTGGATAGGACGAAATAAAACTCGCAAAACAAGAGGATTGGAAAAGCCGTGAGTGCCATAGACATAGGGAAGAAAGCCAGCGCTGCCCCCTATGGTGTTAAATGAGGGTGCATGCGGCGGTGTTCTTTGTGTAGACCCATCCTCTGGCACACACATGCTTTTAAAAGATGTTCAGTGTGCCTTTCGGAGCACCCAATCTTCTGTTCTTTCCTCACTGCCGCCTGCTGTATTGCCCCAGAAGCGGGAACAAGAAATTCCGACCGGCCCCAATCAAAGGCTCATCTCCAGCTTGTCTTCCCTCGTGAGGCCTCTGTAATCCTCGGCTGGATCTTGGGGCCAATTTAAGGCGGACTTGTGTTTAAGGTGCCCTGCTTTGCATCAGACTATAGACCAGGAACTAAAGGGAGTCAAGGGGGAGGGCCAATCCAAATACTTTTAAACCATCAAATCTTTTTCTTTTTTCTTTTTTCTATCCTGATGTTAAATGAGACTTTAATTGCTGATTGATCTGAATGTTTGTGCAGTGGTTAACACGCTGTGTAAAGTTTAAATGAGGTCTGAAAACATGCTCTTAACTAAAAGTACTTTTCATTTACTTTCGTTTAATTTTCAAGCCTCATCTGATTTTTAAACATGGCACTTACCTGTTTTTGAAATTGAAATGTTAAACTTGTGTTTATTTACTTAAAAAGTCATGAAATAATGGTAATGAGCCATACACAGAATTGATATATTAAATTATAGTGTTTTAAGGGATAAGTACCATTTTATACACAAGGATATATGCACTGCATGACACTTTTGATGGATGGGATGCCACTACCACCCATCTCCATGGAGATGTTGCTTTGCCCAGAATATTCCATAGTGTCATTAAACTCAACAGACATGTGGTGGACCCTCCTACATATAAGTTACATAGTGCACCTTTAATACATGCACTGATTTGAACTTTTTCTTAAAAGTCCTGTATTACACAAAATTGACTCTCGCAAGCTTTAAACCATGTTATAATGTGGTTCCCTCTTCAAAAACATCTTTGGAGCTGTGTTTTGTTTCATTCACACATGTTTGAGTAATCCTTTATTATTAGTTTGACTATTTCTCCAAAGCTCTGTTCCACCTTGTGATATCATGTAGTGGTAGTTCTCAATTTAACAGCTCCTTTTACCTTTTGTTCAGTGTGTTCCAGGGCTGAAATCATCCAAATGATTCGAGTGAAGATGTATGGAATTTAAAAACACAGTGGAGCACTTCTTGTACTACCACATGGCATCACAAGCTTGAGTGTTGAGTGTTTCCCATTGGAGAAAAGAACATATGTATTAAACATGTGTGAATGAAACAGAACACAATGTCTTTGATGAGGAAACATTATAACAGTTATATAGATCAGAAAATAGCTTAATATGGGCCCTTTAAGAGAATAGTACCTTAATTCCATCTTAATTTAGACACAAAATAAAGTTATATAACAAACTTCTCTTTACTGCAAACATTTCTGATCTGTCAAAAGATGTACTAGGACTCTGATCGCACCATGAGCGACAAAAGCACTTTGAGTGGCGCTGGTTGTTGGCTGTTTGTTACCGTGGCACTCAAACGAATTGCATCCTCTTACATGTTGAAAACAAGCTAAAAGCTACACCTCCGCTTGTCTTTGTGATTTCACCGTTCCCCGAAGCTCAGGCCTGTCACATAATTCCCAGTGGCAGTGATCTGTTCTGGCAGACAGCATAGAGACACAGAGAGCAGTACACTGTGTAAGGTCGGACTGGCTCATAGCCTGTTGTGATTACCATGGTATCATGTACACACTCCTTCTATTGTGCTGAACATACAAGAATACAAAAATACAAGTAACAAACATACAGACATGTGTCACCATAAAGTTGAAACCATATAAATAGGATTAATACAAGCTCTGTATTTTCTAAATCCATTTTACTCATCAACCAACAATTTTGTATTTTTGAGAAATTGAACCAATCTAGCATTTACATTTTATAAACTGTACTGAACTAATTTCCTCATAGAGGGATTATCAGACTATGTCACAAAAGCCGCTGTCCTGCCTGGTATCATGTCAGTGTCTTGTAAGACTTCAGCAGATTTTGGGCTTCCCGGGGGCGGGGCTAAGTGTATTAATCAGGTATGAGTAGATGTCCAGCTACTGAAGTTTAAGAAGCTTCTTCTCGTCATTTATACACCCACCTGCATTTAACACATATGGGCCATGAAGTCGTATTCCACTCACTAATGTTACTTTAGCATTATAACTTATTATCACACGGTGATAAACAGTTTTAGTGCACTGGCAGCAGCACTAGAGTTGCAACTCCATGTTATCCACATAGACAGTGGTGTTTCCTGCACTTAGGCTGTGTGCGCATCCCATGTTGCCAAACAAATAATCCGTCTATAATGAAGCGGCACCCTGGGGTCATGCTTTGCTGACTTAGGAATGAGCTAAATACACAGAAAAGAACATTCAAAAATGTGGACACTTTAACATTTCATTTGGTGTTAGTATAAGTGTATAAGACAGTAATATATTTTGGTCCTAACTGAAAAGGTTTAGTTTAGAAATATAGTAATAGTATATTCTCTTCAGGGCAACCTTTGAAACCTGGTGGGTGCTGAAGAGCACCCTAGAAAATGCCTAGGAAATGTCACCTCAAATTAGAGATTTACAACTATATATATATATATATTTTTTTTTAAATGGAATTTATAAATATAATTCAGTTTTGTGAGGTACCAAAATGTATTGTGCTGTATTGTTTTTTCATGATCTAAGCTTCATTTCAAAACATAGGAGCAACACAAGAACGTTGTCACATGAGACTGCAAGAGTTTGGTTATAAATAAATCTAAATAAAATATCCATAGTAAACATAACTTCTCACATAGGTTTAGTTACAAAACCTCTGTGTTGCTCCAAACATGCTCTGTGCCCTTGAAAGCGATTGTTGTGTATCGCGGTGGTCTTAAAGTGGTCTGGTCGTCATGGCGTTGTATTACAGAGGCTTTAGCAGGTAAGTACCAGCCAAACATGGCGGGCCTGCCCAGTCTATTGCTCATATCGAGTTGAGACACGGAGATCGATGTGGGCTGAAGCCAGTAACCATAATCTCCTCAGTAAATGCCCTTTTTGCTCTGAGCTAATGAAAAATAGAGGAA